TGGGCCCCAGAGTGCCTCTGCCTTTCAAGGGCAATCTCGTCCCTGCTCTTTCTCCTGCCCACCTTGCTTTGCCTCTGCCCGCTGCTCCTGGGGCTGCTCTTGGCCAGGCAGCCTCAGTGGCAGCCAGCACTGGCTGCAGCCCCAGCGGGCTCCCCAGGACAAGGCCCAGCAATTAAGAGGCCAATGAAAGGCCTGGGCAGCAGCAGAACTCTCAGCAGAGTTATTTGGGCAACCACTGATTACCCACAAGTGCACAGCAGCCTCACTGGGAATGTTTCCTGACTATGAGCAGCCTTTCAAGAAGCTGGAGGGTGGAGATGAACAACAACTTACCATTTCTTGTCCTTCCACCACCGGAATCCAACATAGCACAGGAGCATGGAAAGTGGCACTGTGAACAGTGTCACTGCTGTGCCTATCATGCAGGACTTGCGCACATCCTGCGGACAGAACACTCTTGGGGTGCTCGGTGGATTCTCAGCATTTATACTGGACTTGCCAAGCGCTTCTGTGGGAGCAATGGGCAGCGTGAGCCTGTGCTGTGCTCCATTGCTGAGCTGGCAGCACGGTGGATACAGCCAGGACATTCTCTGTTTCCCCCAGAGCTGGGGCCTGCAGGCACCTTGCCACCCCTTGGCACAGGCTGTGCCACCCAACAAAGCCCAGAAGGCCGAGAGCAGAGCCCGGGACAGCACAGCTGCTTGGGCAGTGGCTCCTTCCAGGGACACGGGCCAAACCCATCCCTGAGCAGCCACTGCCACCCCTGACTCTCCCTGCTCTGTGACAGCTCCCCCAGCCCAAGGGGACAGAGCCAGGCCCTGTAAGGGGCCAGTGCATCCCCTGCCCAGTTGGGAGCCAGGGCTGGCTGTGGCCCTGGGCTCACGGCAGGGCTCCCACTCTGGGCTGCTCCTGTGTCTTGGGCCTCTGGATGCTTAGGGCCAGCTCCAGGAGCAGCTGCTGGGGGAGAGATGTTGGTGCACAAGTCCCGATTCCCAGGGGCTGGGAATGAGCTCCAGAGGCCTGGAAGCCGCGGCACCTCCAGCTTTGGCTGCTGCCAGGCCATGCAGGCCCTGAGGGAAGAGCTGCTGGCACACAGCCCTGCCGAGGGAGAGCCCAGCACAGCAATTACCTCCTGTGCCTGGGCCTGGCATCTCCTCCTTTCCTGCAACAGGAGCTGGCACAGGGCCATTCCTTCCTCTAGCATATGCCATCATCTGCACAAACATCTGCTCCAGCACTTGAGAAAGGAAAAGGGACAGCTGGATAAGATAGAACTGTTCACCATTAGGGGAGGTGGTATCTTCAGGAGGCAATACTTGTCAAAGTCATGGATAAGGGTCAGGAAAATACCCAGGTTATTGGGGCTGGGCCAGAGCCCTCCCTCCTCCAAACAGTCCCTACACCTGATCTAGCCCAAGACCAGGAAATTTCAGGGGATCTCAGGGTGTGCGTGGCCCATGGTGCAGTTTGGGCTCCCTGTCAGCTGATGCCAAATGCCTTCCTGCAGAGGCTGGGGAGAAGCTGCAGCCAGGCCAGGCTGGGAAACAGCCCTGCAGGCCATGAAAGCAGCAACGGGGCAGCAAGGCTGCCATGGATCCCTTCCTGCTGGGCCGGGCATGGCGTGTCCAGATGTGCCCCTGGCTGCTGAGTGTCAGGAGGAGGCTGAGGGACATGAACCCACCACGGCGTCTCTCCAGATCACTCAGCATCCTGTCCAGAAGTTGGGATGCCTCCAGGGATTTCTTGTCTTCTATCTCTTTGTTCTTCCATCTTGGAGGACCTTAATGGAAAGTAGTTCCATTTCTCCATCAGTCCAGAGTAGCAGTGAGTGTACCTGGGTGACTGGTGCCCTCCAAGGCACTCCCTCCTCTCTGCCTTCCACTCAGGAGCAGGAGCAGGGGGATCACGTGCCTGCAGTGTCCCCAAGTGTCCCCACAGTGGGATGGAAGGAGCCCCTTGCATGGCAGTCAGGGGAGAAAGGACTCCCTGGAGCTGCCAGCAGCTCTGAACTGAGCCCCAGGCAGGGCCAGGGCTTGGCAGCAGCAATGGGAGCAGCTCAGGCTCCCTGGGGCTGGCAAAGGAGCCACACGAGGCACAGCCCCGGGGCACAGCCCTGGGCCCAGCCTCTTCCTCTCTGCTCTTCTCTGTGCCTGCACAGAGCACATGGAAGATGACACTGGCATTGCACATAGGAGGAGATTGACAGCTAAATGCTCTTTCCTCCCACTGACAGCAATGCTGTGGGATCACTCAGGGCTCCAGAAGGGAGTGGGGCAAGGTTTCCAGAATGCATCAACCTTCAGACTCTTAAGGGAAATGGTATGAGAGTGAGCTCTTGCCACACTCACACTGATAATTCTGTGCAGAAATGGACATAGAGAACTTGCCTCCAGCATTCTCCATGGGTCTCAAACCATTATGTGCCAGGGCTTTCAGATGCTCCATGTCACGATCCCAATCTAGAAGGGAGCACAGATCAGAACCATTCCATGGTGAGCTGGGATCCCCTTCTGCCTTAGGGAACTGGGCACTGCAAGGAGGTCACGTAAGGCTGTGGGAGCCAGATGTCAGTGGACATGGCCAAAGCTGCAGAGGGGCCTGGGCAGCTCTGGTCTGGCCCTGGACACTCTCAACATCTTTTCCATGCTCTGTGCAAAATCCCTGAAAGGCAGGCACTGCCAAGGAGCAGAGATTTACAGCTCAAGCCTCAGCAGGGCTCAGGCCCAGAGGCACAGCAATTACCTCCTGGGACTGTGCCTGGCATGGCCTCCCTTCCTGCAGCAGAGGCTGCCCATGAGCCACTGCTTCCTCCGGGAAACGCCACCTTCAGCACAGCCTTTGGGTTCATCTCTGGAGAAAGGAAAAGTGATAACTGGATTGGATGGAACCATTCCCCTTTCAGGGAAGTGGTATCATCATGATGCGATACTAGTCGAGGTCAAAGATAAGGATTAGGAAATCATATAAACTTATGGGATTGGCCAGAGCCCTCCCTCCTCCAAACAGCCCCAGAACCTGATCTAGCCCAAGACCAGGAAATTGCAGGGGATCTCAGGGTGTGCATGGCCCATGCTGCAGTTTGGGCTCCCTGTCAGCTGATGCCAAATGCCTTCCTGCAGAGGCTGGGGAGAAGCTGCAGCCAGGCCAGGCTGGGAAACAGCCCTGCAGGCCATGAAAGCAGCAGCGGGGCAGCAAGGCTGCCATGGATCCCTTCCTGCTGTGCCGGGCACAGCGTGTCCTGATGTGCAGAGAAAGCCCCCGGCTGCTGAGTGTCAGGAGGAGGTTGAGGGACATGGACCCACCTTGTCCTCCCTGCAGCATTTCCTTCAGCATTTGCTGCATGGTATTGGATGGCTCATGGGGTTTCCGGTGTCCTGTAGCTTTGTTCTTTCCTCTTGGAGGACCTAATTAAAAAAATATATATCCATGTCCCAGGAATGGATCCTAAAAATCAGGGTTCAGCTTGTGGGATCAGCAAGGACACAATACTCACCCCTGTGACGGGAGCTGGGCTTGCGTGCAGCATCCAGCCCAGGAGCCTGGAAAGTCCTCCCTGCAGACACACCTGCAACTCAACAGCCACAGAAGCTTCTGTCATGTCTGCTGATCTGCACAGGCAGCACTGAGCCACAGGAGTGCTGAGGGGATCACGCAGGGCGAGGGCACACACGTGCACAGCTCTGTCCTGGCACCTGCAGCGATGCTGCCCTGGCCGAGCTTTGGGCTCTGAGCTGGCAGCTCTCCCAGGGGGAAAGGCCTTGACCTACCCTCACCATCTCCCAGAGCCTCAGTCCTGGATGTGGGTTGAGAAGCCAGATCACCTTCACCAAGAGGCTTGGCTGCAAAGAAAGGCAGGACAGAAGAGCTCCCGTGGCTCTGTAGGAGATCCTCAGGCTCCCTGGGGCTGGCAAAGGAGCCACACGAGGCCCAGCCCCGGGGCACAGCCCTGGGCCCGGCCCCTTCCCTCTCTGATCTTCTCTGTAGCTGCACAGAGCACATGGAAGGTGACACTGGCATTGCACATGGGAAGAGATTAACAGCTAAATCCTCCTTCCTCCCACTGACAGCAATGCTGTGGGATCACTCAGGGCTCCAGAAGGGAGTGGGGCAAGGTTTCTAGAATCCATCAACCTTCAGACTCTTAAGGGAAATGGCATGAGAGTGAGCTCTTGCCACACTCACACTGATAATTCTGTGCAGAAATGGACATTGAGAACTTGCCTCCAGCATTCTCCATGGGTCTCAAACCATTATGTGCCAGGGCTTTCAGATGCTCCATGTCACCATCCCAGTCTAGAAGGGAGCACAGATCAGAATCATTCCATGGTGAGCTGGGATGCCCTTCTGCCTTAGGGAACCGGGCACTGCAAGGGGTTTGGGTAATGCCGTGGGAGCCAGATGTCAGTGGACATGGCCAAAGCTGCAGAGGGACTTGGGGAGCTCTAGGCTGGCTCTGGTCACTCTCCACCCTCTTTGTAGGCCCCATGCAACATCCCTGGAGAGGCAGCAGGACCAGCCCAGGGGCTCTGGGGACTCTCTCCCTCCCACAGAGGAAACCCTCCCTCAAGCCCTGGGGAAAACCATCCCCAACGCTTCCCAGGGAGAAGGAAGTGCTGTCTCAGGAAAGGGAAGCCAGGCCCTGGGCTCACCTGCTCCCTGTGCTTGCCACGGAGCAGCCTGGGCAGCCCTGTCAGGCAGGGCCACTGCCAGGAGGAGCAGGAGGAAGAGGCGCAGAGCAAAGGCCATGGTGCCTTGCCCACTGCCAGTCCTGCAGCTCTTGCTGCCACCACTGTCCTGACACCGCTGTCCCAATGTCAGCACCGCTGCTGCCGCCGCTGCTGCTGCCACAACAGTCGTGGTCAAGGACTGACTGCTCGGTCCTTGTGGTGCTGTGCAACCACGGGGCTCTGGGACCTCTGTGACCTCAGAGCCTGCTGTCACCTCAGCCTGCTGTCACCCCAGAGACTGCTGTGACCTCATGGCCAGGGTGGAATTGTGTGGGGAGTGGGATCTGCCTCCTTCAGTAGGGAGCTCATCCTGCCCAGCAGCTCTGTCCAAGGGCTATGACAGGGTCCCAGCCCAGCTGATCTCACAGGCTGGGAGATGAAGGGATGGAGAGCAGCCCTGCTGAGAAGGACTTGTGGCTGCTGTAAGGTGAGAGGCTGGACATGAGCCAGCCATGTGCCTCCTAAGGAGGCTGCCCAGCAGCTTGAAGGAGGTGATTCCACCACCCCTCACCTCTGGTGCGAGCCCACCTGGAGTACTGCATCCACCTCTGGGTGCCCAGCACAGGAAGGACATGGTCCTGTTGGAGCTGGTCCAGAGGAGGGACAAAATGCTCTGAGGGCTGGAGCCCCTCTGCTTTGGGGACAGGCTGGGATAGCTGGGGGTGTTCAGCCTGGAAGAGAGAAGGCTCCATGGAGACCTGATTGCTCCCTTTCAGTACTTTAAAGGGGCTTGTAAAAAAGATGGGACAGAATTTTTAGTAGGGCCTGTTGTGACAAGACTGAGGGGGAATGCTTTCAATCTAAAAGATGGTAGATTCTGACTAGACAGAAGAAAGACATTTTTTACACTGTGGGTTTTGAAACCCTGGCACAGGTTGCCCAGAGAGGTGGGCATCCATCCCTGCTGACATTCAAACTCCTGACCTAAAGGTGTCCCTGCTCACTGCAGGGCACTGGACTAGATGGCCTTTAGTTGTCACCTCCAAACCAAGCCATTCTGTGCTGCTGTGCACCAGCAGAGCAGTGCTGGAATAATGCTGGGGTGATGATGCTGGCACCTGTGTTTTGGTAGTTGTGCCATTTAGCTGTTGGCCAAGAGAGGATTGATGGGCTGCACAGTGAAGTCTGCAAGAACAGTGTGCTCAAGGAGAAACAGGAGAGGAACATTGCTTCCAGTTCAGATAAATGCCAGGATTTTGCTGCCCATTCCTTGTTAAGAAATAAAGGAATGTCCTGAAGATCCCTTCAATGTGGGTGCAGCATTGGCTGTATCAGGACTTGTATTCAGTAAAACAGGTGAGTTGCTACAGCTTCTTGCCCCATTTATCTCTGGATAAAACCCAAATACTGCATTGCTCCATCTCTACTTTCTTCCAAGTAAAGGCAGATTTTGTTCATTCTTCAGTGGGACATATTCATCTGTTGACAAGCAAGTTCTTCTTGCCATTCACACAACATTGATTTGCTCTAATCTAATTTTAATTAACACCTACCTCTCACTATAATTAAGGCTGATGGATTCTGAGGCAAAGTGTTGCATAATTTTCCCTGGCGAGATTTTTTCTCTAATTCAGTGACATATGAAGACAGGTGTAGCCTACCATGCTTACGGCATACTAGAAATGAAAAAATAACATTTGAAACAGGATTTTATCCTTTCTTCCTCCTCTTCCTCCCAGGAATTTGAATCCCTGAAGTCTGAGCTCTTCATCTGCCTCACAAACATTGTTTTAATTCACACAGGCATCCATGAAGCGAGCAACAAATCAGGACAGTGGCTGTGAAGCTGGAAGCAATGCAGGTTTAGAGCACCAGATATAATAATCCATTTCCCAGGTTAAGCCACCCCAAATAACTCTGCCTGTCCTCAGGGATGTTTCAAAGATTATCACAGTAAAAACTGGGAATTAGGAGAGAGAATATCAACAAAATTAAAAATGCAGTTTCCTGATGTCTTTTTATTCCTATAAAAACAGAGTCCGAATTGTTTATATATTGAACATTAACTAAGAAGTGAACAACAGGTTGCCAAAATAATCGCTCAGGAAACAAAAACACCTAAATAAAAATAAGTTTACATGCGGATTTATAAGAAAACAAATATTCTAATGAAAAAACAGACCTGCCAAAACTAAAAGCAATAAGGCTGCCTCGTCTGTCTCAATACAAAAAAAGAAAAAAAAAAAATCATTGAAAGCCAAAGTGAGCCACAAGGCCTTGTTGTACCACCAGAAAAAAATCACAAAATATTGCAGTGATTTTAACTTGTACAGCCTGTCTGGAGAGACCTGCCAAGTTCTGTAATGACCTTCCAATAAACACGAGAAACAAGATTCTAACGAGCTTGGGAGTTTTTCTTCAAACCCAGAGAACTGAGATGAGCGGGACTGCCCTCTAAGGAGGATCCCAAAGGAGCTCAGCTCAAAGGAGGCTGAGAAATCCAAGAAGAGAAAGAAAAATACAGCAAAAGTATTTTGCAAAAAAAAAAAAAATTTAAAAAAAAAAAAAAGAAGTGCAGCAGAATCAGAGAAAGAGAAAAAAAAGAAACTAAAAGGAATTTTAGAGAAAAAAGTTACACATCCAACAAGTTTTCTTTCATTTTGCTTTGCGGCCAGGGAAGCACGTGGCGCTCGGCACAGGAACCAAAACCACCATTCCGTTCTTGTCCCAGGGTGTTGGAGGCACTGAGAGTGTGCCCTTATCTCTGATACCTGCCTCTGACATCCAAGAAAACACTGAATTTCATATAACACCCTGAAAACAACTGTTAAAGTTAAATAGATATACTGAAAGTGTGTAATTTAGAGAGTTTTCTTAAGCCACTGGGTGAGAAAGTTAAACTTCAAGGTTTAAATTAGTTTAGAAAATAAGAGGCAAGATGGAGGAATTAGGGTGTTGTCTCTTTTCTTTTTCTTTCTTCTTTATCTTCTTCTTCTAGAGGTTTTTGGGTAGTAGTAGGTGATTGGATGGAAAATGCCCAATACAGCACACAGGTGTTGGGTCATTGGGTCGCTAAAATAAATAGTTTACTTGACAATTGTTAATTGGATAAATAGACATATAAAAAACCTGGAAAAAGTTCTTTGTTAGCCAATCTACACCTTTCTGTCTTAGTGCATGTAGCTCCTTGTACATTGTACGTGTGTAAATAAAAAAAAAATGTAAAGTGTAAAAAATAAATTTAATGTAAATAAAAGAAGAAGAAAACAACCAAGCCTGGACAAGAGAAAACTGCCTCTCATCAGTCTCAGTCCAAGGGGGAAAAAGAACCCAACCCCAAGTGTCCCATCAGGACACCACGGTGCCAGGTTATACTCTTAACCTTTTTGGGTTAAAACCAGGCTTCTCTAGATCATCTAGATATTGTAATTTTCTTTTGTAAATTGTAGCTCCAGCCTGCAATGTCTCTTGAGGCAGAGGAGTTCATTTCTCCGGACAGTTTATTTTTAAATGTTGACAAACATCGATAACCCAAAAATCTTGGGAAAATCCCTGGAGATGCCTCTGGTTTTAGGGGGGAAAGAAGGAATTTCATCCCTTGCACCCACCTACCACATCCAGGTAGTAAAAGGTTTTAAAAGCTTAGAAAATTCAGAGACTTAGAAAGAAAGTTAGGTTTGGAAAGGCCTTGGAAAAGTTGGCCCTGGGAAATGTTAGGCCTTGTACTTGCTAAAGATCAGGTCAAAACTGCACCTGTGTAATCAGTAGATGATCATGATACAATTGTTAGATATGACTGAATATAATTATTGTTTAAAGAACATGAGGAACAATGTTAGGGGGCTGGGGAGGATGAGGAGAAATCCATGCTTGCATATAATAGAACAATGTAAGTTTAATAATTAATATGTAAGTTATATAACGATAGAGTATAAAAACATGTTCAACTCAAAAACCAAGATGAGAGAGATTTGGGTATGTGTACCCCTGACACCCAGAGCTCTTCAATAAAGCCCCTGCATATAATCATTTGTGATTATGTGTGTTCCTGAATGCTAACAATACCAGTACCTGAAGAAGATTCTGCAGGTGTATTTCCCTTTGTCCAGGGGATGGGTGTTCTTCAGGAAGAGAGACACATTCTGCTGGTGAAATACTGATGGCAATCCAGAACTTGATTGTGACGGTTTTGCCAGTTGTGACCATCTTGTGGAATTTCTGTCAAAGAACCACTGTACGTGAATTCTCTCCGGGATTATTCTGTCTCATAACTGACAGGGCAGGTTCTGATAATTCTGATGGCAAACTTGATATCTTGCCCTGCGAGGAGAGAGAGAGATGGAAAAATTGGTCATCCTACAGTCAACCCTGGAATGGGTTGGGTTGGGTTGGGTTGGGTTGGTCTGGGTTGGGTTGG